GCGACACTGAGGGTTGCGATCCATTGCCGGACACGAAAAAAGACAAAAAGGGAAAAAAAAAAAAGAAAAATAACCTACAGCAAGTTCTTTTCATCATTTCTTAACAGTAGCATTTTTTAAAAAGAATTTGATCTCAAAGTATTAGACAGGAGAATAATATAGCAAAATCTTAGGATTTTAGCCTTATGTTCTTTCTCCAAATTATCATGAATATAAAAAATAACTGTTAAACTTACCTTTAAAAAATCATTTAATATTTTATTTTTAAATTAAGAAAATACTTTCAAAAACTTTCCCAACTGCTATTTGAGGACATAATTAAAAAATGCTTAAGAGAAACTGGGGTAGATTATCTGAAATGTTAAATCACATGTATTCTCTTGAATTTACCAAGACAGAGCACTGCAATACCAAATCCAGTTCATCTGCAGTGCCCTACAATATCAATGGAAAGGACACAGAGAACATATGGGAGGAAGTGTTTAAAAGAACATATATGGGGAAGAAACAACAAAATTTACATCCTCCATAAATCTACCTAATGTCCCCTTGATGGACAAAAGTTTTTTGTCATTGAAAGGAAAAAAAAAAAAACCAAGTGGTTTTGACACATATGCTATAGGTTGCAGACATCTGCTATGATTTGGGAATGCAAAAGTAAACTGAGATCTAACCCGGAAGTCCTAACACTTGATGGGGTTTAGTCTTTGTACACTTCTCTGAAATTGGGAACAATGGTTTTTATTTGGCAAAAATGACGACAGTAAGTCCAGTTAGCTTGTATTATGGTAGCAACCTCAAAGTGATTGTGACTCTAAAATAATTAAACCAAAACTTCTCCTTAATTATACTGCTACAAAGTAGTATAACAAGGGGATTACTTGATTATCTGAACATCAAAGCTGATTTTAAAATTAATATGATTAGTAACAAAAAAAGTAACATTGACTGACTGCTTATTAAATATGTGTGAGAATATTTATGTATAGATGTAGGAAAAAGACTAGAATAATATACACCAATATGTTAACAATGGTTTCAGTGTTTTTAAGTTATTTTTATTTTCTCCTTCATATCTTCCATATTTTATACATTTCCACAATAAACATAACTGTATAATGAGAAAGATTTTAAAACTAATTCAATCTCTACAAATTCTTCCTAGATTGGTACTAAAAAGATAGAGTATTTTTATATTGGAATTTGGACCCAAAGCTTTAGGCAGGCCAGAAATCTTAAGATTAAGATTTATTTTAAATATGTACTTCCCATGGCAACACTTAAATTGTATTCTTTTAAAACTACCAAATTCCAGAATTAAGAAATGGCTTTATAGTTTTTCATTAATTTTATCACTTAAACTATAAAAATGGGGCTGGCCAGATAGCTCAATTGGTAGAGCATGGTGCTGACAACACCAAAGTCAAGGGTTCAGATGCCCATACTAGCCAGGTGCCAAAAAGAAACACGTAAAAATGGATAAATGTTTATAACCTTTATGTACTCTTTTAACTTATCATTCTCTGCCTCCTTTTTATGAATTTGGAGCTGTAGTCGTTCATGTACTACTTTTACTGATTGAGAGAAACGGTTTGCTTTCAAAGCATTTGCCTATAACAGAAGAGAAAAAACAAAAAAACGTTATTTGATGTATCCCATCAGTATCTTTAACTTTACCATGACTTAGACACAAACTAAAAAGCTGACAAAAAGCAAAGTACTACTTTACATAAACTGTCCCCCTATTTCAAATGTATTTCATGTACAATTAGGGTGAATTTTTCTCCTCACCCAACCTTCTATTGAAAGGCTTCTGATAATTATCTTTTTAAAATAACTCCCACCTATCTTCCTAAGTAAAATTACAGGTATATCTAAATTGCTCCTACAAACACCAAAATTCCTTAATTTGTCCCCAATTGAAACATAATACAAATTTACACAGAGTTCCTAATTCGTAGTGATTAATGCCAAGTATCTTGACTGAAACACCATACAACTCTTAAAAAATAAAAAATCTTTAAAAAATTAAGATATTATACTTGATACCTAAAACTTAATATCCAAATAATCTAGAATTTCAAAAAAACCTTTCTGTGTTTATTTCTGAGGACATGGGGCCAGGAGAAGAGGGGGTCAATATTAAGAAAATATGATAAATTAAGTTTAAAAGCTCAATATTTGCTTACCTTTTCATTCTGAAACAAACAAGAAAGTTCCTGAATGTAGGTCTCCTTTTCAAGCACCTTCTTCTTAAGATTCTTCAGTAAATATAACATAAGAGTTAGAAGTTTCACAACTTGGATAATTTTCGTGAATTTTATAAAACCAAGAAGCACACGAATAAAAAATGTCAAAAGAATGGACACAAAATGTGAAGACTTACAGTATTTTCACTTGCATTATCAGTTAGATTTTCTAACAACATGCTAGGTAAATTGTCTCCTGTCTGTGAAAAAAGGATGTTATAAATCAGTGTTCACAAACTATATTTCTCTACACAAAAAGTAGAAAACAGAATAAGCATCACTCAAGAAATTAATAATGACAACTACTATGCACATACACTTCAGAATTTTAAAAGAGTTAACCATAGGAGGGATTTTTGCCCAAGTGTTCCAAATCATTTTTTGTCCACAATTTATGAAATTAGTTGACTTACTGAATTCATCTCAAAAGAATACCTCAGAAAGTATAGGCCAATGACATTGAAAAATCATAAACATCCTGTAAACAAAAGAAGCTCAACAAAGTGCTCTTTATAATAGGCAAGAATTGTAAACAACCTAAATTCTAGTAATATGAATTGTCTTAAAGGATTATAGCAAATTAGTGACAGAATTCTATGTAACCACTTTAAATGAGACCATAGAAGAATGTTTATTCCTTTTTGGGGTCATTCTCCTGGTTGAGAATGTGAAAAAGCTATGGATTCCTTTTACCCAAAAGCACATATGCATGTACATATAATGAAAATTGTACACACAATTTCAGAGGGTACATGAAGTCTATCCTTGGACTCTGTAAGGATCCACAGAGCTCAAGTTAAGACTCCTTCCTATTCAAAAAATATTTAATATATGAGAAAATATTGATGGTATTGACGATGTATTAAGTAGAAAAGTCAAGTCAGAAAACAATGAGAATAACATGACCCTATTTTTCTAAAAAGACATGCATGTATACACTAACACATACACATTAATGGAACAAAAGACTGCATGAAATATACAACACAAAATTAACAGTGCTTAACAGTGACTTTTCACCGAGTGTTGATATCAAAGGAATTATTAATATTTCTTTGCTTATCTAAATTTTCTGTAATGAGCATGTAACTTTTTAATGACAAAAACTGTTAACTTAATATTAGGTAATTTTTACAGTTCTGAGAAAATGTCATCATAGGAAAGAGCTAAAAGGGAGTCAGAAGAATAATTTAATGATTTTGTCATTAGCTCAAGATTTTTCAGCCTATCACAGAAGTTGATTTCTTGAAGTACATTTGTCCTAAGATTCAAAAGAAGTAGTAATCACAAAGAAATAATTATTGATGAAGAATTCTGGTCTCTAGTCAATACACACAATATTCTGTGTAAAATTTCAGGGGATTCACAGACCCCAGATTAAGAATGTCAAGTTAAGAATCTTGATCTTACATAATATCTTTATTCTACAAATGAGAAACAGTAGCAGAGAAAAAAAAAGTACTAATTTATTCTTTTAAATATTTTTAGCTGACAATATACAATACCGGACCATGTGTCTACAAAGTTAGGCTTTAGTTTTCTTAGGCTTTTAAGTTTATGTTTGAGCAGAAGCTCTAGATCAGTTTTTCCCAATAATAAGGTGATATCCTCTCATTTCACTTCCATTATCCCTGTTTGATGAGATGGGCTGAAATTGTATTATGCATGTGTAGAGGCAGGGAAAAAAGTGGAGTGGCACTGTCCTAAATCAAAAGGAAACCCTGTCCTAGACCAAAGGGAAATTATGTGTGTATGAGTATATGTATGTGTGTATCAAGAATATATATATGCCAAACAATTCCATTTCTGGGTATGTACCCAAAAGAAATGAAAACATATACCCACACCACAACTTTATAAATGAATGTTTATAGCAGCATTACTCATAATAGCCAAAAAGTGGAAACAACCCAAATGTCCATCAATTGATGAATGGATAAATGAAAATGGTATACTCATACAATGAAATATTATTGAACAATGAAGAGGAATGAACGTACTGATACATGCTACAACATGGATGAAACGTGAAAACATTGTACTAATGAACTAAGTGAAAAACGATTATCACAAACAACCATATATCATATGATTCCATTTATATGAAATAAGAATAGACATATACATAGAGACAGAAAATAGATAATGGTTGCCTAAAGCTCCTTTAAGGAGGGGTAGGTAGGATGGGAGGTGTACAGAGTTTCTTTCTGGAGTGATAAAAATGCTCTAAAATTGTGGTGATGGCTGTACAACTCTGTGAATATACTAAAAACCACTGAATTTTAAACTTTAAATAGAAGAACTATACAGCATGTAAATTATATCTCAATAAAGCTGTTACCAAAAAAAGAATATGTGTATAAATACAATGTACACAGGAGCTTAAACTCTAAGAGTATATATTTTATTGTAGTAAGCTAAACGAAATATAGCAAATAAGGAACGTTTTTAAGATAGAAAATAAAAATATATTTTCTATTAAAATTGCTACTTTCATGTAGAACTATTTACGAAATGTTAAAGTAGGGGTTAGTTTAATGATTGCCATTTCAAACAAAAATTCAAAGAATTATTTCCATTTCAAATATACCAATACTTTAATTTCTATAAATTTGAGAAATAATATACCCTGCAAGTGAAAAAAATCAGTACTGAGTGCTTAGTGTTGATGCCTTACTTGTTTGTAGTCTGTCTTTCTAAGATGTTCTAAAGCTAGTTTCACACGTTTAAAAGTGTCTAATTCTTTTGTTAATATTTCCTTTTGTTCAGAAATCTTCTTCAAATTGGATGCAGAAAGATTAGCCTGGCAAAAATACAGGAACCACATACACATTTTAAGACATAGCATTAAGTATAACATTCTAAAATATATTATTATTGTGAAAGAATAACTTTTCCTAGTAACAAAATCATTTTTTTGCATACAGAAATAGTAAATTTTGCAAAGTTTGTTAATAGTAAATAAGATCTGTTATATAGCACATTAAAGTAAACAAATCAAAATAAGGGCTTAAACTCCAAAAGTACTTCAGGCATTTATTCTAATAAAAATTATAGAATACAATCTAATTTTTGTCCCTAACTCAAACTTTAATATGCTGAAATTTTAAAAGAGTTTTCTATTCCAAACAACACTATATAAAATAAATATATTTCATCTCTCAGATTTCAGTTTTAAATTTACTCTTGAGAAAAGCTGATACTCTAGTTAAGTCAGCAGTCCAGGTAAGTCAAGCACCAAGATATACAGATTGTAGCTCAGCTTTGTGGTAGCGTGTGCTGTGAGCATGTGTTTAAGAAATGAGACCTCAGTTAATACACTGAGTTCTGTACTAGCTTTCATTTTATTAGATGTTCACAAGTCAGATACTCACATTTTCAAAACTAATCTTTTCAATAGCATCCTTAAATAATGGCAAAAGTAGTTCCACAGAACAGGCTGCCAACTCAGCTTCCTTAAGCGTTGCTTCCAATTCAGTCTTTTCACTTACGATGTCCTTCTTCATACTAATTACAAATACACAAATAAAACTAAGTTAAACCTATCTCATAAACTAATTATACTTTTTTATATAACATAGCCTGACTAAATATTACAGTTCCACAAATTGCTCGGCAAAACCTAACAATAAACTGTCACTGAAAATGTGTGCAATTTTTCCCCTACACATCCATATTTTTCTATACTTTCTATACATGGAAAGACAGTTTTTAAAAAGTTAAGATATGTAAAACACAAAGACCATTAATAGAAATGTTTAACTGCACTATGCTTAATAGTTATTCAATATCCTCTTGCTGGCTTATAAAACAATTTATGGGAATGTACATATGTCTTTTTTTCTTCCCTTCCTTCTCCCTTATTCCAAAAACCCAAAAGATTTGTCTTTCTAGACCTTATTCCCAAACTCTTTCTTGAAACTTACTGTTCTTCATAAAAACTTCCTGAAGAAGGATTAATAAGCTAAATAAATGGAACACAAAAAATTAAAGCTTTCCATCTATTGAGAAATCTCTCATCCTGGGCTTTGGAATATTTTATTATCATTCAAAACAAAACTGATAATACTTGCCTTCTTTTTTTTTTTTCCTTTTTGTCTTTTTTCGTGTCCGGCAACGGATCGCAACCCTCAGTGTCGCGCCCGTACCGGACTGGGACTGGCAACGGGATCGCAACCCTTGGTGTTGCGCCCGCACCTCGCTCAGCCAGTGAGCGGGAACCAGTCTGTATGTGGGATCCGAACCCTTGGTGGGAGCGCCGCCGCGCTCTCAAGCGGCGCACTGTAGCAGTGCGCCACCGGGCCGGCCCAATATTTGCCTTCTTGATTATGTTTTACCTAGATACTACTACATATTATTGCAAGATACATTTGTGGGGCATGCAGGTGTCACATTTTTACATCCTGAAATCATGATGCTTCTTACAATCCTTGTCAGCCAGGAGGCAGTCTTGATTTGCCTTTGTCTGCACACCATAACTTACAGAATGGATGTCTAATGCTTTGAAGAATATCCCAGAGATAGGAATGCAACACTTTTTTAACCCCTAGGAACAAAGGGTCATAGAGAAGGGATGAGAGGGTTGTTGAAGTAGGAATGTTTAGCAATATTCCAGAAGAAGGACTCTAAAGCAGGCATGCCCTATATTGTAATTAAGAGCCCAGCAACAAAAAAATGTTATTTCATTTAAAGATGCTCCTACAAAACGCCAATACTCTTAATAGTGAGGACAACTTTGAGACCAAAAGTATCTCAAAAGAGTTGGACTTTGAGTATAAAGAAATTTTGAGAATACCTTAACTAATTTATTTTACTTAGAATTATTTCACTTAGAATCAAAAGAATTATATGGATTAAAAATCTATGAATAATGAAGTTTAAAGGAGCTTTTTCAATATTTATAAATAAAATTCCAAGTGATAAGAAAGCATGTGTCTTTCTTTAACAGGCAGCTTTTTTCTTCCTTTGGAGAACACAATATAATGGCTCATTAACAATTAATAGTATCTTAGAGGCGACGTCAAAATTAGATTGTATTCTTAAGCAACACTGGCTTAAAGTAATGGTCCTAAGATTCCAGCTATAAATGAAACCTGTCCCTAATTAAAAACCATATGCTGAAAGTCAAGAATGATTATATATGACAAAATATCATTTTATTTTATGACAAGTTAAACTATAAGCTGGACTACACTATCCATAGTGACGATAACGGCATTTTAAGATTGCAATTTTGTGGGACAATGATTCACATAAATAACAAGTGTATTCCCCACTCTAAAGAAGTAAAATATGACAAGTATTTGTTATACAGCAAAATACCAAATGACAGTGAATTAGTACTAATAAGCTACATTTCTGATATTCCATATTATTTATATTTCCATTAACCTTAAAAAGCTTACTTTACAAATTCTTAATAGATAAGGTTTTCATTTTTAATTGCTTCCATTAAAATTCCAAAAAACTAGCTAATTCTGCTAAATGCTTACACTTGTAATCACATTAAAAAAATATATTTTAATGAATGCATACTAGATTTGAAAAAAAAAATTCTCAAAAGAATGCTGTGTTTGATTCAAATAATTTCATTATGGACAAAACATGAAACCCTGAAATCAGAAAATTAGATTTCCCCTGATATTGATAATACCAGCTGAGATGACTTTCACTGGCATGACGTGGTAAATCTTTCTCTGATCTATTTTTAAGATGGGAAAATAGTTCTTCTGAATGACTTCCATCATTTGCAGGTTTCTCCATAAATTCAGTAACTGGATTTATAGGTGACTTCCACAACAACTTCTCCACATAAGCTGAAAGCTAGAAAATATTTTAATTAAACTTATTTCAGTAGAGATTCTTTTTTTCTGTCATTACCATATTATATAAGATAAAGATCCTAACAATGCATAAAAGAATAACATTTCAAAGACAAAATTAAAGTTATAACTGCTACTCATTATTATACTAATTCAAAATCGTATAAAAATTGCTTAGCACAACCATTCAGCAATCGTCAGTTTGTATATACTGTTTCCACAGTGTTGTTTACTGCTATTTCCTACATAATTACAAGAGTGTAGAAATTTTTACTAGCCTATTTGTTGAAGGATTACAATAATGTTTTAATCCTGTAGGACTAGAAAACATATAAGAATCGTGGGTTAACTATGGTCCTCAGTTCCATTAGGCCCATCCAATAAGAAATATATTTTATGCCTAAATCTGTAGAAATTCAACATACTTTTGAAAATACTTGGCAACAATAGCTACAAAGAAGATATTCCTTTGAAAGTAGGCCTTTCAAAGTGAATTTATTCCTATTCTGAGCTCAATCTAGGATATTCTTTGGTGATAATGAATAGATGATGTTCCTTCCAAATTTTACTAAATATGTAATTGTTTTCACTCAAACTTGGAGATGTTTTTAAAAGATGAATATTTATTAATTTCTTCAAAACTGCTCCATTTAAATAATGAGTTAGAGCTTTAGCAACTATTAAGACTATGTTTTCACAACTCTAAAAATATATGGCCATGTGTCTCCCTGACTTCATTTACATTTACACATAAACAAAAATCAAAGGTTATATATAAGGTTTTCTTTATTCTTTTAGATATTGAACTCTTTGTGATTTAGTTTTATATTTCTGTATTACTAAATACATTATGTTCAAGAATTGTTAATACTTTGGGTAGATGTGAAATGATAGTTTGATGATTATTCACAATATTTAATCAGCAATTCAGAAACCTTCCAAAGTGTTATTAAAATGTACTTATTTTTGTCTGAAGGTTCTATACACTGCAGAGACAAATATTTAGGATACAGCCCAATGAAATATATGCTCCTAATTTTGAAATACCAGCAAGTGAAGTCCAAAAAGAACTGCTAAATAACCCACACATAGTCTAAGGTGATCCACTTGAATGCTCCAAATATGTAACATTAGGGCATAACAATATTTAAGCTATCTACAGTCTAGAAGAATTGAAAATATACAGATATACAAAATCAAATGAAAACCGAAACCTAAGGGTTAAGAAGAATATGCTCTGGATAAATCACCCGCAATCAAGAAAACCATCACCTACTGATTTGATACAACGCAATAGATACCCCACCCAGAGAACTGGTATTTAACTTTCATCCATTCATTTGTTTAAATATTTGTCTCACTGTAGAATGGAATCTCAATTAAGAATATCTTATTTATATTTGAATCCTCAGCACCTAAAAGCCTTGTAAAAGCTAAGCAATGACTGAAGGACAGGAAACAAAGCTTAGAGCCCTAATGAATAGAATGAATTAATAAAAAGTGTTGTTTTTTACTTATTCATCCCCTGATTCATCTTTTCGGGGATCATTAAAAGAAAAATGGTTCCTATATTTGGAATAAAAGTTTAAAAAAACAATGTAAGAGGACAGGGATCTTCGATTTGCAGAAAATATTTTATGAGATAAGATTCAGTATAGTAGCAATATTTTAAATGAGTTCTTACTTGGCTTTGTCTACTATTGGCAACTACATACACAACTTTTCTGAGTTTTATCACAAGATAAAATCATAAAACAATTTTTCTGCTTTTCACCTTATAATTGGTAACTGTATATTATCTTAAAGGATAAACAAATAAATAAGCATCAATTGTTAAATCAGTAGAAGCAAAAAATGGATATCTAGCTGTTATAAAATTATGAACATGATGATCATGATATTCTCACTGTAAGAAGAGTATCGAACTAATTTTAAAAGCAGACCTGCTTCCTGAGGTTTGTTACTTTAACTATAACTAACGAAGAGGTGCTCAAAACTGCTCCAAGGACCTCACTCATTTCACAATACTGGAAACCTTACTACGTGTCAGGTGATAGCGAACTTTGTCTTCAAAACAGACTTCATCCCAGCACCAGCCAGTCTGGTTATCATAATTTTCAGTAAACAAGCACCACTCACTCATGTAGGTGGTTACCTATATGGCACTGCGTTTACTAAACCTTTTACTACAACCACCCTAAAGTGATTATTATCGTCCCCATTTTAGGAAACTGAAGCAAGGAAGGTTCGGTGACCCGCCCAAGACCACAGAGCTGTTTCCATGGCAGAGCTGGGACTAAATGCAAGTCGGCCTCTAGCACTTTCCAGCACACTATGCCAATCACACACCAAAGAGGTCACCAATAGGGATCCTGGAGAAGGAATTACTTCCGAGGCTATCTTTTAAAATCTGGAATACGCCTCATTCCTAGAGTTTCTGAAGTCCTAGGGCTTCCCACCATCTGGTATATAACATGGTGGGCGCCTAAAAACCAAACAATGATTAAGAGTTCAATTTCTGAAAGAAACCCCGCCGTACCCGGAGAAGGCACGGTCAGGAGTCCGTTCTGGGAAAGCCCACCTCGCGCTAAGATCTGCCCTGACGTCCCAGGGACCACACCCTTCCTAGGAATAAAAGCCTCGCCACCGGTCCCCAGTCCAGGCCAGTCCGGGGGAAGCGGGGAGCATGCGCAGAAGGGCGCTGAGGCCTAGCTCCGGGTGGGGGCAGCAGCCTTCCAGCTCCGGGACCACCACCACCCGCAGGCCTCCGAGGGCCGCCCGCGGTAACTGCCCACCTGTAGCCTAGTTCCCCACACAGAATCCGCCTCCCGGCCCGAAAGGCGCGCCCACGCCCCCACCGCTGCGTCCGCACGACGCTGTGACGTCAGCCCGCCGCCGGGGCGCGGTAAACGGGGTCAGAGGGGCCGCTTGGGCCGACGCTCAGCCGCGCTAGTGGAAGTCCCGGCAGGCGTACCTATGGCCTCTAGCCCTGCGTCAGCTAGGAAGGAGCGGGATGCAGGGGGCAGTGTGGCGGGTGGACGACCAGGTGGAAGGCAAGGGACGCGACGAGGGGAGCGGGCGAAATCCTAGAACTGCTTGCGGTGGAAAAGTGCCCGGCAAGGTGCGAGTAAAACAAAAGCGGAGCTAGGAACCGGCGAGTGGCTTCTGTGGCAACGGCCGCCCCGCCCCTTCCGCCGGGCCGCAGCCGGCGCAGCCCAATGGCCCGGCCTCGGGAAGCGAGCGCCTCGGCGGTTGCTGTCTGCAGGAGTGAGGGGGCGGGGCCCGGCGCTTTGTTTCCCGGGTAACTTTTTTTTTTAAAAGCATCTGTTTTACAAAAAGGGCAGTGCTTGTGTGTAGTTGCCGAAAATATTAACAGCTCAACCACAAAGCGACATAAGGCCAATTCCGAATTTTCTGATGCCTGCCCTGGGAGTGCCCTGCTTCTGCTTTTTAAAGATGAGATTTGAAAAAGCAGAGGCACTTACGACTGGGAGAAACCTCGTTTTAAATGTATTTTGAGTGTATGGCTGTAGCTGAGATCCTTTCCTGAGCCTCAGGTTTTTTGCCTGTTAAATGAAGGAGCCAGATGGTGTTCTTCAAGGTGCCTTCCAGGTCTCAAATTCTTTCTGTGTGCGCTACAGCCAGCTGGTCTGGTTTATAAACTCCTGAACAAGCAAAACAAGACTTTATCTGCAAAAATAAAAAACTTTATTCAGTGCGTCTACTTAATGTTCATGTTAAGAGTTGTACGCCAGCATATGAAGTTCACAGATAGAGCAACTATCAGTTGAGTAGTTTAAGCATCGCATGCTTCTCGCTAATTATCGGTTTTACAAAAAATATTGCCCATTGGTGATTCCAGCAATGCTTTTCCCCCCAGCACTGTGATTGTTCAGCAAAAAGTTCATGAAGGTTAAAAGTTTATGCATAACGAACACACAATTCTGTGTATGCTAATGCTGAAGGCCGGGGTCGAGGGATGGTTGTTGGGTATTTAAGTATCTACTCTCTCACTGATGGATTGTGACCTTTGGCAAGTCACCTAACTTCTCTGGGCTAGTTTTCTCATCTAAGAAAAAGAGAGAAGGGCGGGGGGAGTGGAATTGGGGCTAGGAACATGAACAAGTCCCAGGACCTTTCCAGTGCTAACCTGGGATTCTAGCTAACCTTGCTAACTTGTCATAATTAGAGAAATAACAGAAATTAGTTTCCTTTTATGAAAAAAGCTTAATTAAATTGCATTAGTATTAGATGTAACCACCTTTATAAGACATTCAAGAGGACACATTCACAAAATCTCAAAATCAGACTTCTTAAAAATGATCACAAGATTCTCAAACCGTCTATTTTAACTGAATTGTCCAGGTAAAGTAATAGGGCACCTCTCATCAAAACCTAATTTGTTCCTAAAATCTGGTTGGATAATCAGCTCTTGGATAGGATTCTTTATTCCATTATTTAAATGGGAAAAAATTCATTCCAGCCCATCCAAAAAACTCAGTTTCCCCAAATATCATTCACCACACTTGACCACCTGTGAAACAATTTGCCAAGGATTGCTGTATAACTTAAAGCAGGGACCAACAAAATTTTTTTGTAAAGGGCCAGATAGTAAATATTTTAGGTTTTGCAGGTTATACAGTCTCTTTCATACTCGTACTCTGCCACTGTTGTGCAAAAGAAGCTATAGATGGTACATAAACATACAAGCTTGTTGTATTCCAATAAAACTTAATTTACAAAAATAGGTACTGGGCTACATTTGAGTAGTACATTTGTGTGCAGTATACAGCAATACAGTGTTGGATGGAAATTTTGATTTCCTCCTTCATAGCAACAATATATACTATAATATGAAAACAGCAGATAACAAAATAGGTTAAAGATACTTGAATACAAATAATATCCAGCAAAATTAAGAAGCAATTTTTAAAAATGGCTTAGTGGTGTAATAAACTGTTTCCAAAGATGGCTTGTAAACAGTTCCTCTTACCCCTGTACATACGTCGAAAGTGGAATCTATTTCCCCTCCCCTTGAATTTGACCAGTAGAATGTGGTACAAGGGATCCTGGGCCAGTTCAAAACCTAGGCCTTAAGAGACCCAGCAGGTTCTGCTTTCCTCTTTTGGAAGCCGGTTACCACATAAGAAATCCAATTGCCCTACTGTAAAGTGAAAACCAGCCAGATTCTGGCTGTTTAAGTCATCCACTTGAGGTGCCAGACATGTGAGCCATAGACCTTCAGGGCTCAGCCATGTTCCCGGCTGAATGCAGCAGTATGAGTGACCCTAGCCAAAACCATAATCCAAGGGGAAGCAGGGTGAAACACCTTTTCTTTTGAGGAGATAACCCAGTATATATCCCAGAACACATGACCCAAGAAAATTCACATTACATCTATGGAAAGACAACTAACTACACAAGGCATCTATGGTATGTGCTATTTCCTGTTCTAGTATGATATCAGTATGATACCATCAGTGTAGTAGACAAAAGTTATGTCCCATAGGTGATGAAATAATCATGGTCTCTGCACGTGAAGTTATGACAAAAAGAGAGTTAACAAAGCACTTGGGTAAAGCAATAAATTCTCATGCATTCTCTCCTTTCAGATGAAAGCAAACTCTTCAGTTGTTCCATGCAATATTAGAATGAGTAAAAGACTACTTCCAGAGTTATATCTGCATACTAGGTGCTAGGAATTGTGCTTATTCGCCTGATAGAAAGACTATATCTGGGTCAACATTTTAGATGACCTATTTATCTTCTACACAGGCAAAACAGAAGGTTAAATGGGAGTGTGGTGAGAATCACTACCCTGCATCTTTCCAGTCTTTGATGGTGCCACTAATCACTGGGATTCCCTCAGGACGATGGTATTGCTTTTGCTTACTGTTTTGTTAGAAAAGGGCAGTTCCAGGGCTTCTCGTTGGTTTTCCTATTACAATAGCCATGCATCAAGAAGCCAGTGTCAAGATGTGGTAAATCTCCATTAATGTGATAACATTCAGGTCTCCATCAGTTCAGCAATTTTTCATTATACAAGTCAGGTAGGATCTTAATAGACTGTTAATTCACTTCAATTCCAGGGACACCATGATTAATTATTCACTGTGAAAGATCCCTGCCAGTCAAACAACTATGATTACTGCTCTCTGGCCCTGCTGCCTATTATGGTAGCCAAAGCTACCTCATCTTGGCCTCTGCCACTTTGGGATCTTATTTCCATTACAGAATTAGGAATTTCATTCAATGGCAGCATCTCCTAACTTCATTGCTAGGTTTAAAGGGCAGCAACTACAGAGCTTTTAAAGGATTCTGGCATTCCCCTCCTCAATATTTTCTCAATATTTTCTAAACAAAAGGTTTTCTGGGCCCTCTCAGGACACATTTAGAGCTGGAGGAAGACTAAAAGAAGACAACTGAAACTGTTGTCTGAGCTCTGTCCATCCCCACCTCCTCACTTACAGTACAGCAATGACTACCCAGCTGGGCCTGCTTCCACCTCCCATGGATTTTCAACACAGCAGCCAGAGTGATCCTTACAAAAAGAATGTCTGAGAGTCAGGTCGTGTCACTCCTCCAAATCCATTTCTGAGTCAACTCCAGTCTTTCCCATGGGCTGCAAGCTTTGTGTGATCTTTGTGCTGGACGCCACCCTGGTGCCACTGCATCCTTGCTTCCCGGGAGACCGCTGCACTTCATCTATCACTACACTCTTCTCGGACCAGCTCACTTCACTCCAGTACAAGCCAGACTCAGGCCCTTCCCACTTGCCCTTCTCTCCACCTGCACTATTTTTCTCTCAGATAGTTGCATGATTGCTGGATAATCTTATCTGTGATTTGTTCCCAGACCAGCTGATACAAAATAACAAACCCTAACTTCCATCCTCCCCTAACCTGATTTTTTTATTCTCCACAACACTTTCAGGAGACATTACATTATATTTGTTTGTGGTCTCTCTCCCTTTTCTAGAATGTAAATTCCATCAGGACAGGAACCTGGTTGGTTTTATTCATTCATATCCAGCACTTAGAACAGTGCCTGGCACCAAGTAGAAACACAGTTTTGTTTTTAACACCTTTACTGAGGTATAATTGACACGATTTTATTTTTGAATAAATAAATGAGTGTAGGGAAAGAGACAGAAATAAAAGTTAGGGGAGCAGTCCCCTGCCTGAATAACGTACATCCTTGAAAATTAGTTGCTTGGGGCTACATGTTGGAGATCACTGAGGAAGCGTAAGACAAAATGCACCCATTGAGGCAATCTTATCATGGCTCACATAATGATCAATGAGGAAATAGACAGGGATCAAATTGAGGTAGGCTTTAATGATAAAGAAGTGACCGTGAGTTTAAGAATATAAAGCCTACATATCTGTGTTGTGTGCGTGTGTGTGTTAAAACAGGGTACTTTGCAGAGTTTTTTTGCAAAGAATATTCACACAATGGTGTCACCATAAAAATTCATAATTAATGCAATGTTTTCCTTCAGAATTCCAAAGAAAATGTAGGCTTTTTCCATAAAAGGTAAAAACGTGTTTAACAGCTGCATAGACTGACTGCCTCTTTCTGTTGTAAGGGCTTGTCTTAGTTTGTTTTGTGCTGCTATAATAGAATATCTGAGACTGGGTAATTTATAAAGACAAGAAATTTACGCTCATAATTTTGGAGGCTGGGAAGTCTCAGCTCAAGGTGTCAGTGTGGCGGTCTGCTAAGGCTGCTGTCTGGAATCCTGTTCACATTGCCAATTGTCTGGCTACCACAAGGGCTACTACGAGGCTAATGTCTGGAATCCTCACAGTGCCAATTGTCTAGCTCTTAATCCTGTTCCTGATGCCAGTTGTAAAACTAGGCCACCACGCTAGTGGTTGGGCTCTTTTACTTGCCGGTAATTCTGAACTGACTGGGCCGATGGTTGAGCTAGGGCTGGGTCTGGAGCTCCCAGACCCCTCAAGCCCATTCACAGACTGGGTAGCAAACCCTTCACACACCAGGCTGGATCACCAGACTCCTTCACACAGGTCTATAAGCTAGGTAACCGGCCAAAAGGTCCTTGGAAGCTGCAGGTCTGAAAAAGACATAGCTGCGCAGAGCGGGCGACCGAGGCAGTAAAACACCAGCCAAAGTAGCACCACCTTACAGGCGCATTTACTCCGCCCACACACACAATGTTACTGAACCACCCTGAACCG